CCATAAAAAACGGAGTATGTAAGTGAAAGTTATGATTTTTAGAATAATAATAAATTCAGATGGTCTAGATGATGACACGTGGCACGATCCAGTTGAACCCTTCCTCCCCAAGGCTTGCAAGTGGACGGAAACATGTAGCTTAATGAGAGGTTTCCACATCACCATGTATGCCAGGTGATGCACATTGTTGTTTCATGAAAAGAATCCTTGAAGAGGAGTCTATGAGATTATATTACATGTTTGGTAAAACACATGGTTGTTGCTAGAGCACCTGATAAAGACACGAAAATCCTAGTTGAGTCTAGGAAAGTTTGTTTCTTGTGTTCATCTAGACACATACATATATGCTAAATTGTTTTGTGGTTTTCATGTGTAGTGACTTGGAAACTGTGAGACAATTCTTGGGAAGAGAATAAGTAGGTGTGAAAGGTAGTATATGCTTGTACTACCGGAAGCACACGATTCACACTTAGATCAGGAAGAGTCGCAATGTTACTAAGGCACTAGTAGTGGAGTTTGTTTAGTATGTTTCTGTTATTACCTACGTCATGGTGATGACTAGGAAAGTAGTTTTGGTTTAGACCTAGTGGTCATGAAGGATTGAGTCTGAATAAAAATATAAATCTGCGTAAGTGAGCTGATTGGTTTAGAGAACCATGTCATGTGTAGTTCTATATATATATATATATATATATATATATATATATATATATATATATATATATATATATATATATATATATATATATATATATATATATATATATATATATATATATATAATTAAGTTCAAATGAGAACCATTTTTAAAGTAAGAACATGAGGACAAATCTCAGCCAATCAATTTATTTAATTAATTAATGTAAAAATTATAATATTTTACATTAATAAAGGTAAGGTTTGATTGTTTAATTATCTTTAAAGAGTATATCAATCAAACTCCTATAATTAAGGAACGTTTTATATTATACCTATCAAACATTGATGGATTCTTCAATCATCAATCGTGTGTGTCAACCCGAATCGGATATTCAAGTTTAGTCGGTCTGAAAGGTGTCCGTAAGATTCAATTAATGGATTTGTCATACTTCAACGAGTTTGTTGATATAAACGCGATCAATGAACAGGACGAAATCAATTACCATCAAACTGCATCTGTCGACCACGATTTTATGTCTAGTGATGATGATATTTGTTCGACTGATGATGATAATACCGCAATTGGGAAAGTCGGCATCATTGCTGAACGTATTCCATGGGATTTCCCACAAGTTGAAAATATTGATCAATCCATTCAAGTTCCTGGTATGTTTGTTTTTTTTGTTTCTTTAAGTTTGTTTAAAAAAATGTGTCAATTACATTACACAATTTTGTATATTGTTAGAATACTATCAAAAAATTTACAATCAATATCATATACTATGTATTTAAGTTTATTTGATTTGTTGATTTGTTATTTGTATTATGTTATTAACTTGTCATGGTTATTAGATGTTACAAACATTGATCAACACTTGGTAATAGCTGGTAAATCGTATTGGATTCCATATGTCCCTAATGATATCAAGCCAATAATAAACCATAAATACCCATCTGATGATGCAATTGAAGACATGTACAGAAGATATGCATGTGCAGCAGGTTTTGATGTTAGAAATTCAACAAACAAAAAAAAAAGCGTGGTATGGTGTACATGAAATATCTGCTATGTAACAGGGAAGGTTTTCCAAATACATCCCCTGTTGATACGTTGGACCAAAAAACAAGTAAAATTAAGAAATGGGTTGACACTAGTAGGACCGGATGCAAGGCACGTATACGTTTTAAAATTTTTCCTGGAACTACAAAATGGTTGTTATATGAATTTGAAGAAAAACACAATCATCCACTTATACCAAGGGACCATATGTTGTTTTCACGTCATAATAGGCAGCTGGATGACACTCAAAAATCTTTCATTCTTACAATGTCTACTCAGAATATTGGTGCAACCATAGCTCACAGGCTGTATACAAGTATTCTTGGTGGATACAATTTTGTAGGCGGTCTAATTGACGACTTCAAAAATTACATGAGGGATCTCAATTGATTAATAGGTGGTAGTGATGCTCAGATGCTAAATAACAGAAAAGAAAATGTTAAGAATTTTTCTTTTGATTATCGAGTTGAGAATAAACAGTTGAATGCTCTTTTTTGGGCAGATGAAACATCCAAGAGAAATTATAAAGAGTTTGGTGATGTAGTTTCTTTCGAAGCTACTTTCCGAACTAACAGGTTGTAAATGATTGTAGTTTATTATACTTCTTCTTATTAATAAAATACATATTAATTCAAATACTTTTACAGGTACCATATGGTTTTTGTCCCATTTACTGGAATTGATAATCACAAGAGGTGTGTCACTTTTGGTGCTGACTTGTTGAGCAGAGAAGACATTGATTCCTATATATGGTTGTTGAAATCTTTTCTTAAAGCTTTTGGCAAACAACCTTTGTTGGTTTTATCCGACCAAGACCCTGCAATGAAGAAAGCCATCGAAACTGTTTTCCCACAATCGATTCATAGGCTTTGCATGTGGCATATCACATTTAAATTGCCATTGAAGGTATTTATTATTCTCTATGTAATACAATTTTACCAATTAAACAATCAATTGTTGGTGTATTCAAATCAGAATGTTTTTGTTTTTATAGTTGATTACATATATTACATTTAACAATTCACAGGTTTCTTTGAACATTGTCAACAATCCAGAGTTACGTAAAAAGTTCAACTTCTTGATATGGAATTCTAGGCTTGAAGTTGATGAGTTTGAGGTAGGGTGGCAGTCATTACTGAATGAATATAAGCTCACGGATAATAAATGGTTAGATGATATGCATGGATTGAGACATTTCTGGATACCCGCATTTTTCAAGCATATACCTTTATCAGGATTAATGCGAACCACGTCTCGTTCTGAAAGTGAGAATTCAACATTTCACTAGAACACGCATTATGGTTCTACGCTTGTCCATTTCATGATGTCATTTGAAGCTACTATGGAGAAGCAAAGATTCACTCAGTCATCTTTTGACTTCAAAACTAACGACAAACATCCAACAATGAGGACACCATTTGAGATCGAGAGGAATGCCTCTATGTTTTACACTCGCACTGTCTTTCGTCAAGTTCAAAATGAAATGTACTTGTCTATGGTTTCATGTACTCAAATTTCGATCAGCACATTCGACGATGTGGATGAGTGTCTTGTCAAAGAATTTATTAATTACATTCCTTCTAATGCAAATGCTTGTCAGCTTGATCCAGAAGTTGAAAATGATGATCAATGGGATATACCTATACGTGAGTCTACTTACAAGGTAATTGCTATTGAAACTTGTAATCTTACTCTTTTAAGTTTCATATATTTTTTTTAACAACTCTTCTTCACTTCATTCAATACAGGTCACACACAATAAGTCTGCACAAACATTTACATGTCCTTGTATGAAGTTTGAGCAATTTGGTTTTCTGTGTCGCCACATTTTTACCGTAATGAAGACAGCAGAAGGACATCATCTCCGCAGAACTATTGAAAAAGTGTTTTCGTTATGCTGATTCTGACGAGAATACCCAAAGAGTTGCACTTGATATATTTCATAGTGTTGATAACTGTGTATCTTCTCTCAGCAATAATCACACCAAATGGAAAGAATACTTGGACGAAATAAAGTAGCTTGAAGCAAAGTTCCTTTCCAATTTCACAACTCATGAAAAAGGAAACAAGAATAAAGAGTTCGAAAAAACACTTGGTGTTACCATTCCCACTAGTGTGGATATTCAAAATCCTAGAGAAATCCGCAACAAAGGAAGTGGTACTAAAAAAAGAATGAAAAGTTCGAGAAAGGTGACAATAGAAAAATCAAAGGGTTCCAGATGCAGTTATTGTCGCAATGGCAACGATCATGATTGGCGAAATTGCCCTGTAAGAAAAGAAGATGAGAAGAACAACATTTTCAAAGAACGTCATGGGAAGAAGAATTAATTTTATTTATCATTTGTTTTTATTTTTTTTAATTGTGTGTTCATGTTCTAAACTTAAATTTTTTTATTCACATCTGATTGCTTTAGATTTGTCATATTCATATTAGAGACATGTTTGAATGCTAATAAGAACCTTGTTTGTCGATTATATTGTTTTGCAATTCTCTATATATGTTATTGTTATCTTAGTCTATAATAAGTTTTTATGTACAAATTTATTCATCATTGAATGATATTAGTATTCCTAATATTACAGAACATTCAATAGAAGATGTTTCGTTTCCAAAAGTTCAAAAAAAAAACATTAAGTTTATCCAAACAAAGGTTTTGTTGCACACATAACAATATGTCGTATTATGCAAAACCCCTAGAAAACAGCATCCTCAAAATATCATTCATTTATAATACTACAAACGTTATCAAGTACGATAATTTCATCACTTAATTTACATATCTTGTACTGTACTGTATACACATTCATCGTGGTTTCAAAAACAACTATAACACATTACATTTACATATAAGTCTCAACAAAAATTGTACCTATATTGCCAATTGCAAATTTATAATGATTTGGTTGTTCTACTTACAGCTTTGGATTACATATACTTTATTGAAATTACAGATTTGGATTATACAACATTCATATCGCATTCCACGACATGTCCATCAAAGTAAGAACTCTAAAAAAAAATTAATTGCTGAAAATCGAATGCAGTTTTACCTTAGACTAAATCATTTCAGACACATTGATCAAACAGTCAACACGGTCAACATAATAATCCATACATAACTAGTAGTAATAAGTGTTCAAACCACAACCAACATAATAATTTTAGACACATAACAAAAACAGATCCATACTACAATAACCCTAAACAAAAACCTACCATCTGACCAAATGAATCTGTTTGTCAAAACAATACTAACCAACAAGCCAGACCCAAAAAAACAAGCAGCTTCCCCATCAGCTTTTAACCAATTGCTTCATCAAAGACTACTTTTAGATTCTCCTGAACTATTCTCTTCCTTGTCGCCTTATCCATTTTAACAAACTTTGCGTACTCCTTTTCAAACTCACACTTCAAAATATTATGATCAGACAACAACAACCTCACCAAATACTTGTACCTTAACTTTTGTAAATACATATCTTGTGTTTTTAAATCCACAGCTAGCCCACAATCCCACTTTGATGTTTGATCCCCCATAAAACTCTCCATATGTTGCATAAGATAGATTCCACCATCATCTGAACGGTTGTATGCTTGACACTTCATTTTCAACACCACCACATTCCTTGTCATCAGGGTCTTCACCCTCTTCTTACAGATATCATCTAGAAAATGGCAGAAAATTTTTTGCTGGTAACAAAACATTACAGACAATCATTAATTCTGTAACACAAATTGTACTAACAATTTACATAATCATATAAACATATATTAATACTAATGATCTTATTTTCATACTTACCAACACACGGGGTATGTTCCCATACATCGACTCAACTGTCCCCACCAATCTTCTTTGATTAATTATCAAAAGTGAAAAACTTTTAAGGTTAAAACATATGAGGTAGTAATTCCCATCAACAATGGGGAAGAAAACCTACAACATATTAGTCAAAATATAACACTTAATAAAAAAATGTAATAACACATTTTAATCATCATATTTCTATTACCAAATCCACATTTTTAGCTCAGAATCATTTGTAAGATCTTCAATTGCTGAGGAGACCATAACTTCAAACTCCTTGTATCTCACATCTTCGTTTACCTTCACGTCATACATTGATTCACGCTGGGCATTACAATTAAACAACACAATAAGTAACATTAAATTTTTAAAAAACTATTATTATATTTCTAAAAATAAAGCATACCAGTGTGCTATTGTAAAAAAAAAGTCTAGAATATGACGAATCTGCCTTACTCTCTTCCAATTTGTTTAGTACAACACTCCAACAGTCGATTACATTTGAATGAATATTCAATTTTGCTGCAAGAGTTCTGGCATATTGTAGATGCATTCCAAACCCTTCTTTTGATTCCCATACGAGCTCCCTGCATTTTACATGGTTGTATAAATCAGATATTTTACACAAAATTAATCATAATTTTTTTTTTTAACATGTATGCAACTACACCTTTTATCCATTCCTAATCCAATAATTGCTTGTGCAACCAGTATTTCTTTTTGCTCAACTGAATCTTTCAAGTCAACAACTCTTTGTACAAAAGGTGACTTCAATGTAGGCCCATGCTTCATTTATCTCCTATCTCTCGTTTTAATCCCTACTCCAGCTTCAACGTTTCTCTTTGTCCTTTTAAGACCTTCCTTTTCAACAATTGCATCATCTTTACCGTCATTCCCTTTTGTAGTATTCATCTCATCTGCGCATTGATTAAGTCTAGCTTCAAACGATGGACAATCATTTTTTAACATACTACTCTTTTTAGAGTTGTTCCTTTCAATTTTATCAGCTTGCTTTATCCAACCATGTGTCAATATACAAGGAGAATCAAAAGTAGAATTCCCATTGTACATTACAACTTCCATTCCTATAGTCGGTGACATTCCTTCCATTCCATGAGAAGAGGCATCCACATTTGATTCAGAATTAACTTTTTGTCCACTAAGTAAATTCCCCCCCATCTTATTTGTCAACTTAGTAATCAGTTGGTTCATATCCTCATCTGTTTGTCCTCCTTCTGTTGCCTTCACACTTGTACCATCAACCTCCATTCTATCTTCATGCCCTTCTGCAATTAAGGCTTTCAGTGTAGTCCCATTAAAGATGTCAACAACCTTCTTAATCACTGCCTTCACTTTATCATTATTCGGATGTATTTCCATACACATCAAACTATTTGCCTCTACAACCTTCTTCTGCTCAACCAACGTACCTACCATTCTCTTAATAATCCCACAACTCTCCTACAATAAAAACAAATGAAATGTTATTTTAAAAATCTAATATTTTTTTTATACTATACAATTAACAATCCACAAAATAATTTAATTACTATACATATTATATTTATTATACAATATTTTTACCTCAACTGATATATCTTTGAATTATCTTGATTCATCATCGCATCATAAAACACACCATCCACATTTTCCCTTAACGTTAGATTTCCAAATACACCCCTGCTTACTTCATATTCTTCTAACACTCTAAGGTGTTCCGAATCATTTTTGTGATGAAGGGCCTATGCCTACAGAAATTGACATCTTCACATATCACTCTGTCTGCATACGCCATCTGCACAATTACATTCAATAATTTTTTTATTATAAATAATTTTTAATGATGCAAAAGTTAAAAGATTAATATAATATTCAATATCATACCATTAGAAGCGCCACAGGTCCTGTGAAGTAGCAGTTTTTGTCATTTGGCCTCCATTTATTCTTGCTTTTTCCTAAACAGTCCACTATGTAGTCACACCAGTTAATCCTTGACACATCTTTGCATTGAATTAACTTTTCAATAAAATTAATTCTACAAGACCCCATTGTCTCTGTTTCAGCAAAAGTGTTAATGAATAGCGTCAAAAAATTCAGCTTAAACAACTCATCCGCAATATTTGTTTTCCTTATATTCTTCAAATAGTTCCCATTATAATAATTTCCCTTCCCATATTGTCCTTTCCAAGCTTCAAGCAAAGGATCATTCTTATCACATTCATCTAGTGTGTTAAAGTCTAAACCCTTATTCGACAGTCCAAACATAGCTTGGACTGTCTCGTTTGTTATGGCCACTTCACCACTTCTAACCCTTATGGAACAAGAACCTGTTGTGAAGCTATCCACAACAAAATACGCTAGCTTTCCAGGTAGTGTATCAATCTTCATTCCCAGAAAAGATCCAAAACCCATATCACGTACCATTTCTCTCTGGCTCTTTGACAAACTTTTCATGGCTAGATACAAAGAATTTGGAGACATATGAGTACTCAACCTTTGAAATTCAGTTCCTACCTTCCCTTCTTTACATGTTCCTTCAGCTCCAATTACTTTTTTCCCTTTCACCTTACCCTTTTTATCAATAACACTCTTGTCAACTCTTTTCCTTTTCATTTTCTTTTCATTCTTTCCAGAACCCACCTCCTTTTTCTTCTCAACAAAATCATCATCACTTGTGTCATTCTTGTATGACTTTCCATTAATTCTCTTTTTGGGTAATTCTAGTTTCCCCCCCCCCCCCACCAGGTACCACTTTCTTCCCTGCACTTCTCATACATTTATTTCCTTCAACAACACGGATGCTTGATGACCCTGAACATTTAAATAAAAAAATATCATTCTTAAATTTTACACTTTCTATATACGTTATTTATCCAATAACTAATGTACATAAAAAAAACATTATCTCACATATTGACATATTTATAATTATTCATCACTGATTAATGACTACAAGCCATTTTGAACCCATATTCACACACGAATACATACTCATGTGCAAAAAAATTATTCCATCATACAATTAACTAACAAAAGAATACATACTCACTTCCTTTAAAAATAAACATAAACTACCTGATTACTCATTCACATACACATTCATTGCAGATTAGTCATTCAATTAACCAATAACAAACGGTTGTCATAAAAATTATCCCACAAACCTTGATTAATATTCTTTACAAAAATACCATTCATTGCCGCAATCGATTCTCTACTGCATACTCATTGATTTTCATTATTGATTACACATTCAATTATGAACCACATCACACATACACATTCGAAACAGATTACCAAACTCAACACCACATTCACTACCACACATATACATATTCAATACAGAATTCCCAGTAAACTACACACACATTAACTATTTCATACTAATTCCTATTCAGTATTGCTTAAACATTCAATTCTTAACCAGCTAATCACACATCCATATTCTAACCAGATTAACAAACTCACTACCATACAAATTCAGTTTCACTTCCTTTAAAAATAAACATAAACTACTTGACTACTCATTCACATACACATTCATTGCAGATTAGTCATTCAATTAACCAATAACAAACGGTTGTCATAAAAAATATCCCACAAACCTTGATTACGATTCTTTACAGAACTATCATTCATTGCCGAAATGGATTCTCTACTGCATACTCATTGATTTTCATTATTGATTACACATTCAATTATGAACCACATAATCACACATACACATTCGAAACAGATTACCAAACTCAACACCACATTCACTACCACACATATACATATTTAATATAGAATTCCCAGTCAACTACACACACATTAACTATTTAATACTAATTCCTATTCAGTATTGCTTAAACATTCAATTGTTAACCACATAATCACACATCCATATTCTAACCAGATTAACAAATTCACTACCATACAAATTCAGTTTCACCAAACTCAACAAAGAAAATCACCTTCTACATATAAATTTTGGTGTATCGGGTTTCACCAACCACCATATTTTAGTGTATCAGGATCCTATGGTCACAAAATTGCCTAATATTTTGGTGTATCGGGTTCAAGGATTCCAAAAGCCCGAACATATTAATTTTTCGAGTTATGATACTCCGAGAAAGCGCATTTAAAGTTTCGTGTCTAAATGGCTCGTAACGTTTGATTTTTTGACTTTTGCAAATATTTTCGCTAAAACTATTTTGAGTATGAAATTAAATTTTAGGCTATTGTTTTAGTCCAAATATTTTAATGTTTTTTTTTCACTCATAATTGCCTAATATAATTTTTTATTTTATTTTTCAGACGCATTAATCATACTATCCGGTAGTATGGATCCTATGGTCACAAAATTGCCTAATATTTTGGTGTATCGGGTTCAAGGATTCCAAAAACCCGAACAGATTAATTTTTCGAGTTATGATACTCCGGGAAAGCGCATTTAAAGTTTCGTGTCTAAATGGCTCGTAACGCTTGATTTTTTGACTTTTGCAAATATTTTCGCTAAAACTATTTTGAGTATGAAATTAAATATTAGGCTATTGTTTTAGTCCAAAAAAGCTCTCAAAATTTCCATCGGAGGTGTGTAAGTGCCTCAATAAATTTATTTAGTTTTTCGCGATTAAAGAAATTTAGTGTTTTACTGTTTGTTCTCTTAAAATTGTCGTATCTCTTGCATACAAACTCATTTTTGGACGTTCTTTATATTTTCAGAAACATGGGAACATATACTATGATATTTTAATGTTTTTTTTTCACTCATAATTGCCTAATATAATTTTTTTTATTTTTCAGACGCATTAACTTGGGTTACAGTTTGAGCTGTTTGATTCATTTGACAATTTACACATTTGGAAGTAAGATATCATATGGTATCTTATAATATTTGAAATAAACCCATTTATTTTACATTAGATGAATTAAAACTCAATGAGTCAAATTACATTGAAATTTATTGTAAATTAATCGTTCACAGTCTATGACTTAAATTCTGGGATGTCACAGATTATAGTCTAATATAGTTTCTACATTGAGATGTATAAAGGATGCTTAGTTTAAATTAAGTTGAATTAAATGGGTAGTAGTCATACAAGGGATGTATGTGAGACTGGAATGGAGAGTAGAGCTTTGTTCTATGGACTTATCGCGTGCCAGTGTAAGGGTTACGTACTAGAGTTTACCTAATAATTTTGATATTAGGTAGTCACATTTTGGGGTGTGAGTAAGATTGAAATGGAGAGGAGAGTTTTGTTTCTGTGTCACTATCACGGTCCCGGGTGTGGGTTCTATATGGGCCATCTACCGGAGTAAGGTGAGGAAGAGCCACTGATTGTTATAGACAGTTACGTGGAACAGTAGCAGACCCATTACCTATAGGTGTTAATTAATCATACTATCCGGTAGTATGGATTGTGTTTTCATTCGAGTACTCCATTCTCCTTCCGGTTGTTTTAAGACTCATATTAGCCAAGGAATACCCCCCCCCCCCCCACTTTTTACCAAAAACCCATAAAATCCATAATCTTGAATAAGAAATCCTAAGAGACAGAATCATATGCTTTCTTGAAGTCTATTTTGAAAATCATTCACTTTTTTTACACCAAACCACCATCTCATTCATTACCAAAGGGTTATACAATATTTGTCTACCTTTTAAGAAAAGAAACTATTCAATTCCAATAATAGATCCCATCAACATGGTCAAACGATTTTCTAGAGTTTTCGCAATTATCTTATATAACACACTAATTAGGCTAATCGGGTTGAAATCTTTTACCATCAAGGGATCAACAAATTTAGGAATAAATGTAATAAAGGAAGAGTTGCATATTAGGGGAATAAATCCACTAGTAACAAAGTCTACCATAAGATCCATAACATTTGCTTTCATCAAATCCCATAAGTGTTTAACAAAAGAAAAATTAAATCCATTTGGGTCTGGAGCTTTGTACCCACCACAGTCCCATACTATTTTTCTGATTTCATCTTCCAAAAAGACCTCTCACCACTCTTACATTGTTCCCGACTCAAAGCACCCAATCGAGGGATTCTAAAAAGCAAATATGATCCCGACATCCTTTTGAATTTGTTCGAAAAAAAACTGATAAAATTCAATTTTAACCTCCCATTAACATGTAATCCACTCTATATCCTTCAAAATACCACAAACAATCATATGATACTATCTATGTTTCAAGAATTCATGAAACATTTTGGATTTTCATCTCTATTTTTGGCCCACACAACTCTCAACATACACATTAATCATAAAGAACCTGAAATTCTAAGCTATACACACCCGTTCAACTATAATAAGATCATCTTAACATAAAATCGAAGATTTTTGGAAACAATTAGGAATGTAAATTTCTTCGGTATTTGTCCATTTTTGCGGAACAAGATGTGGACCAAAAATATTTTCCCATGTATTTAGTCTTCATGAAAATTTTTTTTTTAATCTTTATGAAAAGATGGGTGTTGTAGGTATTTCTTTTTCATGTATTTAGTCTTCATAAAAAGGTCTTTTGGACCTCTTTTGTCTGTGCGATGAAAGACATTTTAAAAAAAACGTTGTTTGTTTTTCAAAAGAGAAACCCTAACGTGAAATTTCTTTTTCCACCGCCAGATCGGTGTTGTAGTGACAACAATGGTAGTGTTGGTGTTGGTTGGTGGTGACTGGTGATGGCGGAGGTGGTAGCAACGATGGAAGTAGCGGTGAAGGAGGTGGTGGAGATGTTGGTGAAGGCAGTATTAGGGGTGGTGGTGGTGGCGACGATGGAGGTGGAAAAACAAATATCACATTAGGCTTTGTCTTTTGAAAAACAAACAAAGTTTTTTCTTAAAATCTCTTTCCTTCCACAGACAAAAGAGAAGAAAAAAAGACCTTTTTCCAAAAAAACAAACACCATCATAGACTTAAATACTTAATCTTGAAAACATCAATCCGAATCATAAAAAAATTGTAGAATTTGGAGAATAGAAACTTCATGCTTATCACACAAAGATTTCACCCATCAATGATTCTCCACTCCAAATTTGCATTGATTAATAGACATGATATTCACTGGGAAACATGTTAATCACCAATTTCTACCATATTATTAATCCATCAATAACTTCTAAAAGATATTTTTGGAACCTTTCATACGATATCCAAGAGTGTTTACAATTTAATAAATTTCATAAAACCTTTTATCAAAGATCCATCATGAACTTCCTTAGTGTCTGTTAATTTTTTTTCTTGATAGAATTCGATTTTCAGAATTCTACAATCATGTTTTTCAAAGAATTCATATTACCACTGAATTCCGTACTAAATGAACCACTTCAGAATTTATAGGAGAATGAAATTTAACCCACCAAAACTCGGAGGAGCTGAATTTGTAGAGGACCCCTATTGACGTTGCATAGAAACTGAGAGCGGTGCTATCTCTGACATATTAATCTATTACCGGTAGGGCTGTAAACAAACTGAACGAACTTGAACAAATGATTGTTCATGTTCGTTCTTTTTAGTTAACCGAACAAAAAACGAACACGAACGAGGTTTTTTTTTCATTTTTATTCATTTAACAAATTAAATTGTTCATGTTCGTTTATTTATTTTCGTGAACATGCTA